ACAATACAGAGCATTACTACGAGACCTAGAAATTTGCTGCCAAGTTTGAATTGCATTGGAGGTCATTACCTGGCCGCAACGGGGTTTTCCTGCGTGAGCGTTTCGATATCTGTGAACTGAACAGCCTGTCCTCCACCTCTAGTTTTGAACACTTCACCCTGATAAAGAGCAAAAGATTTGAGTTTCAGCTGACAACCAAAACCAGTCAGATTGAGCAAGACCACTAGAAAAAGAAGCTACCTTGATTAGCTTGGTCTGGATCTCTCCATCTGATGCAACTTCCTGGTGCGTCAGAACATACTTGTCACACTTGGACAGAGCTTTCTCATTGGGAGCATTCACTTTGATGGCATTGGGGATGTTTGGCTGCAGAACTGTATCCAGGTCCACGTTAGTGGTGGGTTTATGATCAACCCACCTCTCCCCACCTGCGGAGTGCGAGCGTCTGTGTAGAGGCCGAACCGGTGGCCCAGTCTATTCAATTAAAACACAAACACAGTAAGAAACAGAAGACGGTCCCTTAAGCATGCTGAAGCGTGAGTGTGTTAGTCAATCTCTACAGAAGCACAAACTAAACGTACCAAGCGGTTAAGAGGAAAGAAAAAAAAGCTGAAAATGTTCCCATTCAAACAAGCTCCAAGATAAATATGCTTTTCAGTATGCAGATATTAAAGCTGTAAATGCTGACATTATTCAATTGCTTTTCACACTTTAGACAAGTAAAATTATGTGCAGGAGTAACCGATGACAATGAGAAGATGAAAACTCCAATTTATTTGTCTAAAAGTGCAAAACAAAGCCATTACATGGTTAAAATAAGCAGCACATAATACCTTATTTTACATATATATCTTCTGGGTAATAATTAATGCAGCTGAGAAACAGATCAAAAGGTCTACATTAGTGTCTTGATGAAGCTCTACCTACAACTACAGCAAGTTACTCCACTGACCCAGTGACCCGTTTCCTCTAGGTCTACCTCTGCTGGCTGGACAGGCACCTCTCTGGCCCAACACCTGCCTCTTCTCCTGCCAAGACTGTCGGGAAGGCCCTGAGCTCTCTTCCTACTGACTGGAGGCGACTGGCTACCCTGCCTGCGAGACTGCGGGACACCCTGCTCCCACTCAGAGATGCAGGAGGCCACAGACACACTGCCTGGTCTGAGGAAGTGAGGATCTGGCCTGACCGTCTGAGAGAAGTTATATATGGGCTCCAGGGAGGAGAGGGATGACTGAGAGCCATTGTAGGGAGACTGCAAGCGACATGAGATTAGTACACTCATTGTTTGCATGCAACACACCAGTACATTAAAAACAGCATTTACGGCATTAAAAACAGGATGGAACCTGTATATAAAAAAAAAAATTAAAAAAAAAGGGCACAGGGTATTTATACACACTGCATAGCAGACCATGCATGGACATATAAAGAGGAGGTTTGTGGATTAGGTTAAGCATAAATCTCAGGGGCAGGCGATCTAGAAACGCATGTCAGTTAAACGTACAGGAACAGGCGACGGGGAAGCGGATCTCTTGGCAGGCACTTTGTCCTTTTCTCTGGAGGGCCGCTGTGGCTGCCGGTTCTCCGTCTTTCCCTCAGTCACGATGGCTTTGAGCTGTTTGAGTTTCTCATCCTTCACCCACAGCTTATTCTGCATTTCCAGCTGCTTGGCATTTACCTGCCTCTCCTGTAGAGAACAAACAAAAGCTGCATGAATCACACCACTAACAAATTAAATTCTACACACAGACACAAAAAAAATCGTTTCGCGTATGGTCTATGGGGAAGACACTCACACACTCCTTCTCCCACTTAAGCTTGGCGTCAGTGACAATGCCTTGCATGCGTGTTTCCATGCGTCTCTTTTCAGACATTTCCCTTTGCAGCCTCTGTTCTCTGCTCTCCAGTTCCTGCTGTAGAGATCGCTTGTCCTCTTCATAGATGTTGGTAGTTTTCTGTAGAATGTCAATCTGTAACAGAAAAACATTTTGCAGATGCATTAGAGGCCTTATTCTGAACTTTTGTTAGTATGACACTTAAAATAGCTGTCATTCCAACCATAATTATTGTAGCTTAGTTTGCATTGTAAATGCCAGATATAAAGCTATCAGGCAGACATACACACACTACTGTTCAAAAGTTCTAATCTTTAAAGAGACTCATGCTCATCAAGGCTACATTTGATCAAAAATACAAAAAAAAGTAATAAAAGAAGTAACTACACATTTTCTAATTTAATATATTTTAAAGTGTAATACACTCCCATGATGACAAAGCTGAGTTTTCAGCAGTCATTAGAAATCCACCAGAAATTGACATACTGATCTGGTGCTTAAGAAACATTTTTACTATTGATGTTGAAAACAGTTATGCCGTTTAAGATTTGTGGCAAAAGAAAATTATAACATTACACATGCAATTGTGTCACTTTTGATCAATTTAAAATATCCTTGCTAAATACAAGTATTAATTTCTTAATGGAAAAAAAAATAAGAAACATTTTTACTATTGATGTTGAAAACAGTTATGCCGTTTAAGATTTTTGTGGCAAAAGAAAATTATAACATTACACATGCAATTGTGTCACTTTTGATCAATTTAAAATATCCTTGCTAAATACAAGTATTAATTTCTTAATGGAAAAAAAAAAAACACCTTTTGAAAATGATTGTACTTGATTCCATTTTTTTTTTTAAATACTGATTCAGTGATGGTGCAAATACCTTGTATTCCAGCATCTTGGATTTCTTTTCCAGACGATCAATCTCATTCTTCTGGTTTTGGATCATTTTTTCCCTTTCACCAAGCTTGCCACGTTGCTCTTGGATAAAGTTTTCCTTGGAGAGCAGGTTGCTGTCCTGCTCTTGAAGCACAGACTTCAGCATTTTGGCTGAAACAGAATCATGGCAGAAATTTGGAAAAACATTGCACTTGAAATACCATTTAAACAACTCTGAATAAAGTGATGATTTTACCAGTTTTATTGTACTCCTCAATCATCATGTGTCGAATTTTGTGTCTCTTCTCCAGGGCCTCAATGAGTCTGGGCAGTGTAACATCATCGTTAGGCCCAGAGAGCTCACAGGGAGGAAGTGGAGGGAAGGACTGGAGCAGCTGGTTCAATACTGTTGGAGACTCTGTAACAGAATACATCACATAATTGACATTACCCCAAAAAAAAAAAAAAAACCAGTATGAGACTTTAGTATGGAATCCCACTTTTTTTTTTTTATGTTAACACACATTTTGTAAGAATGTAACAAGTTCACACACACCTCTATCTATAGGACCACCACGTTCCTCCAGCCTGCGGGTAAGCTCCTCTTTGAAGGCCTGGTTTCTCTGTCGGCGACCAGCAGCGAAGCCACAGATGGGCCTGTCAACGGGCCGGGCCACTTCAACCTCCTGAGTCATCTCAGCAAAGCGCATCACCAGCTAGATCACAGATGAGAAACCCAAATGTCACAGTGCAAGTAGAATACATCTGAGGAAGACTCCATCTTTTGACCCGTTATCTTACCAAGGTCTCCTCATAATCATCAGCTTTTGGATTTACACACACAACCATCCTCACTTTGCCTTCTCCATCAAAGTAGTTCTTGAATAGATGGGTCACTTTGGAGTCTCTGTACGGAACCATCTGAGGACAGAAGTCAAGAGTGCCTTTGATGTTTCTAACCTTTTTAACCAATCACATGGTCAGTTAATGTATCATATACCTTGTTTGTGCCACACATCTGATTCTCCCTTAGCACTTCAATACAAGTGCGCAGAGTCATTAAAGATTGATTGATGTTGCCTGTGAGAGAAAGAAACCCATATGGTCTTCAAAAACATAACCCTGAAATCCTGAAGGTAATAAAAGTAGTTCTTCGTGCTGCTGCCTGACCTGCCTCACGGAGACGGCTGCCCTCTGCTCGGGTTCTGCTAGTGCGTTCACTGCCAGCCAGATCCACCAGACACAACTGGCTCACATTCACCTGATTCTTATCCTGAAAAAGGGAACAAAACAATAAGTGCTGTTCAGTGGTTCTACGGTCACAATTCAGAGCACCACATCTTAGAATGTAGGGCCAAAATGTGACATGTAAAGGTGTAGTTCTTACATAAATGAAAATTGCCATCAATTACTCACCATTGCATTGTTCCAAACTCATAAGATTTTCATTCGTGTTTTAAAGGGGTCATATGATGCGATTTCAAGTTTTCCTTTCTCTTTGAAGTGTTACAAGCTCTTGGTGCATAAAGAAGATCTGTAAAGTTGCAAAGACTAAAGTCTCAAATCCAAAGAGATATTCTTTATACAAGAGTCAGCCACGCCTACCTAAAACGGCTCGTTCTAACACGCCCCCACATATCTACGTCAATGTAGAAATATTAGCATAATGCCGCCCAAATGTGCAGGCAAAGAAAGGCGTCGTGGTTTCAGGAACAGCAGTATTGTTTATGCAGCCATGTCAGGGAGACACGGACACTGTGTTTCAGTGCAAAAGCAAAAGCACTTTATTTGGCCTTTCGGA